TTAAGCAAAGGGTTGCTCGTTCGAGTCTCTTGTCATGCACAATTTGGGGTTGGGTATGACTGGCTGATAACGGCTACTCAGCCATTAAAGACCACTTCGGTCAACCCTGCCTTTGCCGCCAATGCTAGCTGCCCAAACAAAATAGTCTGATTTCGAACCTATGGTAAGCTCGAACATCTGAGTTGGTAGAGTTGGTTCATAAGCCAGCAATGGTGATCGCCGTCTCCCTTACCTTTGTTGTAATTCGCCCTTCACATATGCTATTTGTTGAGTTTAATACCGTCTGGGGACATGTTACAGATCTGGCGATTGAGTGTGTGAGCGAAAGAACTACTCCTTGAAGCCGTAGCGTGCTTTTGGGAGCTTGGACTGATTTAAACTGAAGCTGTTGTAATCAACCATACTTTTGATAACCGAAGACTACTGCGTCTGCTTTTAGGGATCGTTGCCGGTCTGGAAGTGGCGCTCTTTCCATCATGTACATTGCTGCGACAACACAGGCCATCTACGATCGTACACAACGAGGTGACAGGGAGGCGGAATTGGAGAGCAGTGTAGCAGCCGGATCAGTCGAAAACGACAAGGAAAACTTGCCCGTCTAGGGCAAAGGCCTCCCAGATTTTTGTATTCTTTACTTTACCAATAATATTTTACTTCATACTTTAAATCTTAGTAATTATTGTGAGTTTTCTAAGAGGACGTTTATACATTTACAACAAAGGGCTTTTTGGTAACAGTTACTGTGTACAATCGCCGGTGTATAACAGTTGACACGGCCTTGCACTTAAATGTGCGATGTGAATGTACTTAAATATGCATGTGCATGTACTTAGATTGACGAGACTAATGTCATTAACCTCGTGTGTGGTCTTTGACGGCGGGGTAATATTCTTCACTCTAGTCATTCGCTTTTGCGTTTCATCTTGAAGTCTTCAAGAGTTATCTTCAAACGATGAGCACATAACCTGTGAGAAGTCAACAGATTTAAGCACTCACTTGATGACGTCAGATCGTGTAGTCTCAATTCCCGTTGAAGATGCCTTGTTATTATTTGGTCGATCAGATTTGTCGCTATAACGTTCGAACCGTGTGAGCGAGAGAGAGGCCTCCATATATCTGGCCTGCGTAACTGCCCTTGTAACAGTTTTGCTGATATTAGAACCCTACTAGACCCTCGGAAATACCAGCCTTCCTGACGTAAAATATTTTGAAAGGGAGTGGGAAAGAGAAAGGGAGGAAAATAAATTATTTTGAAAATAGCGTCCAAGGATTTCAGCAAAAAATGGCTCCATTCACTGAGACTTTGGGACAATTTATCAAAATAGCAAAAAATCTAAAGGTTTACATAAAACACACT